ATGAAACTATTAACTGTAATTATGTTTAAAAGGGATAGTTCATGAAAAAAAGGAAAGTTCTGTCAATATTTACTCATCTTCATGTTGTTCCAAACCTGAATTACTTTTTTTATTCTGTTCAACACAAAAGAAAAAAAATTTAATGTTTTAACTCTTTTTGACCATACAATGAAAGTCAATGGGGTCCAAAACAGCATCGGACCCACCCCACTGACGTTCAATGTGTGGGAAAAAAAACAGAAAAAAAAGAAATGCATACAGGTTTGGAACAACATGAGGATGACACTTTTTGGGTGAACTATCCCTTTAAGCACATGCGCATGAATAGATATTTCTCTGAGAAGTTATCTGAAAAATTCTCATTTTATAACTTAACCTTTTTTCGGCTCAGAAGTTCCCAGAACTATCCATTTCAGCAGTTTTTAAATGGTCCTATACAATTTAGCCATTTGCGTATGAGAAAACTGAGAACTGAATTTATTCTACTCAAAAGATATAGTGAAAACCATTCCTCTAAGTTCACCATGATTGATCTGTGGGTGTTGACATACACTGATACCTTGGAAATCCTTTTGACAAACTATCATACTTGTTTATGATAGTTTGTGTTTATCACACAAACATCTTCTAAAGTGCTGCCTATAAGTGCCTGAAGTGTCATATGCATGTGTGGGGAAGTTAATTAGCAGCAAGGAGCAGAACTAAGTTCAAAGGGTCAAACCAGCGACAGAAATGAGCCCAAGGCTTTGCAAGGGCCGCAATGTTTTCATACCATTTCCTTAAAACACCCACACAAACATCTTCTAAAGTGCTGCCTATAAGTGCCTGAAGTGTGGGGAAGTTAATTAGCAGCAAGGAGCAGAACTAAGTTCAAAGGATCAAACCAGCGACAGAAATGAGCCCAAGGCTTTGCAAGGGCCGCAATGTTTTCATACCATTTAACAGGAAACACATTATAAGCCGATTGATAGTAATTGAATCTCATAATGGGAAAGACGACAAACTCTGAAACTGTTCCAGTGCCTTCATATTGACCCCTGGTCTCTCGAGGGGTGTGTGACCATGTTGGAGTGTGATTTCTGTCAGGTCGGGGCGGTTGAGGGGGGACTCTCAGATGACAGAGTTCTGCCCCTCCCCCAAGTGAAACGCAAATGAAAAGGAATGCAGAGATAAAAAAGCTTGTGTTCCCAGATAAGGGGACAGAAGAAAGGAGTAGGCGAATGCTAAAAGAGCACTCTTGGGGAGATGAGAGGCGCTGATGGCAGTGTTGGTGGTAGGAGATCATAGCAGGTTCCTCTCATCAGCCCAGGCTCTAGAGGGGTGTGTGACCATGTTGGAGTGTGATTTCTGTCAGGTCGGGGCAGTTGAGGTGGGACTCTCAGATGACAGAGTTCTGCCCCTCCCCCAAGTGAAGCGCAAATGAAAAGGAATGCAGAGATAAAAAAGCTTGTGTTCCCAGATAAGGGGACGGAAGAAAGGAGTAGGCGAATGCTAAAAGAGCACTCTTGGGGAGATGAGAGGCGCTGATGGCAGTGTTGGTGGTAGGAGATCATAGCAGGTTCCTCTCATCAGCCCAGGCCTGTGTTTGATACTGGGTCTTTGTCGCTCTTTCAGCTGTGCATTGTTGGGAGGTGTAATCCCGGGCGGATTACAAAGGCAAGATCCTTTCATATGGCTGTGCCCAGCAGGCAGGAGGCAGTGCTCATGCTGGAGTGGAGGGCCACGCTCATTCCTCTATACCTTCACAACGGGGCCATAGCTGCAGGGACAGTGACGCAGGGGTCATTCGGTCATGTCCTCTCCTTGGAATTCTGCTCCCCCTTTTCCATTCAGATAATTTCCTTTCATGAACTCCCTCCACCCTGTACCTGTGCACAATGCCTTACACCTAACATACTGCACAATCAAAAAAAACTGAATATGAGCTCTAATATTTAGAGCCACATTGAAGTAAATCTTCCACAATGTTTTTTCTCTCTATATATAATCATTGACATTGTACAGCAGATTTTGCTTTGAACAAACTCCAAAGTATTAAATACAAAACTCTCCTGTGTGTGCCATTGGCAAAAATTATACCAAAAATTGTGTGGCTTGTTTGTATTTGTTAGTAAAACTTTACTTTTCCAAACTGCAGGATGGATGATAAAAGGCGGGAAAAATAGTCTTATACTGAAGGATCGACTCGACTAGAATATCATGTGATATTATAGAGACTCTTTTCAGTGAGCTTATAGTGAGCTCTTTTCAACTGGCCAGAAAGCGACCATCAAGAAATGCCACAGCAACGCTCTGGAAATTAACCACAACTTTTGCATAGGCAATCATCATTTAAAAAAAAATTTAGTAGGCTATTACATTTGGTCTTCAAGGCATCCTTGCTCTGATTAAATTCAGTTATTAATGTAATAACTTTAATGTAAAGACTGAGATTGTGCTGCCCCTATGTGATGCAGTTCTTTGTTTTTCACATGCAATAAGTGCTCTCTTAGCATCAAACTGCTGATTCAGAATCTTGCAAACAATTGTGAAAGGTAAGCAAAAGCTTTGTGATATGATGCAAATGAATCAGAGAGACTGCACTGCATGAACAAGAGTCATTCGACTGAAGTGTAGGGCAGAAAGGGGTGTGTTACAAGACAAGATATAGTTTACAATCAACAGTTTTACCAATAAAAATGAGCTACAGGGGTAAATCTGATTATCGCAATAAAATCATGCAAAATTTAAAATGTAGGGGAGAGTGGGTTAAGTTGACCCACCCCCTATATCTTGGCAACTCTACACTTTTACTGTCTTGTGACCATGTATTTTGGAACCACCCATAATTTCTGCCAGACTGTGAAAAGGAGAAACATGTGGGAGGAGTGAAAGGCACCCATTTACTGTTGAAATGTTTTTGGCTTTTAAAGTAAAATTTTTAAGCAAATTTATCAAGGACTAAACATATTTATGATGCATATAGTTGATTTAGCAACATAGAAAACCATGCAAAACATTTAGCTCAATATTAGCCTGAATTAGTAAGCTAGCTAGTTTATTTCCCCCCAAAATGATGGGGATGGGGAAGAGTGAGCCAAATGTTGTGGGGTAAATTGAGCCAGCATTTTAACTTACCCCACCATAAGGCACTGAAGTTACGTTAAACCTCTAACGTATAAACTGGTATTTTAATATGATATTATGCAAGTGGTTTAGTTTATCATATATATATATATATATACATATTGTTTGTAGTTTATTTATACATATAATCAGATATATCTTTTCACCTGTAGTCCCTAATGGATTATTAGACATTGCAGAAAAGCTACCATGCCAAGAATCTTTTGACTAAAAAGCTTATTAGTTTCAGTGATGTTTAGTGTTGTCAAACGATTAATCGCAATTAATCACATCCAAATTAAAAGTTTTTGTTTACGTAATATATGTGTGTGTACTGTGTATATTTATTATGTATATATAAATACACACATATACAGTATATATTTGGAAAATATTTACATGTATTTATTCATGTAATCATATTCATGTAATTTATATTATATATAAATATATTTAATATATAAACATAACATATTTCTCTTAAATATATGCATGCATGTGTGTGTATTTATATAATAAATATACACAGTACACACACATAGCCTATTACGTAAACAAAAACTTTTATTTTGGATGCAATTAATCGCGATTAATTGTTTGACAACACTACAGTCACATTTATTTTTTCCTTCTTATTCAGTTTTTATTTAATTTTACTCAACAAACTCTCTGTTTAATCTGTTTTTGGGAAAGTTACAATTTTGGTGTTCAACATTGTTTGTTTTAGAAATGAGTACAATTACAAAGATTGAAATTTAAACATAATTTGGTCGGTTTTATGTTGTTTAAGTTAGCTTTAGGAAAAGAAATTGGCTATGACTGTTTGTTAAAGGAAATATGATTATTAAATTAGTTTTTAGAAGATGTAAATTCTCTTTAGACTGAATAGATTCAATCAGATGGTCAGTTTACACCCAGATGGTGCATCTTACCCACTGACTCAGGTCAATTTACCCTTAACCTGGGGCAAATTGAGCAACGGGAACACTTTTTTTTTTATGAGCAGTATTTTAGAACCCGTCATAGATACATTCTGATAATTTAAAATAATAGGAAACATCCTGAAATTACGTTAGACACTTTCATTGTACTCATGCCTCATTTTCCCTTAGTTATCACATAAATAAAAAATTGCTCATCTTACCCCACTCTCCCCTAAATGTTTTTCTCAGTGTCATGGTGCACCTCGGTAGCGAGATAGATTAGTGACAACAGCACTGTCTCTTTGATAGCTTACTAGTTCATTCAGACTAGTTCAGGGCGAGTAACGTTAGGTAGATTTCTGTACTTTAATGTTGCTCACAAATATAAACACTACCGGTCGTCCTGGGTCTGCAGTTGTGTTGGGATGGGCTCGCCCATTGTAAAAATGGAAGCCGTAAACATTAGCATAAAATGCTAATATATCAATAGACGCACCAACCCGCACAACACAACGATCATTTAAAACAAACTGACCATAGGCCTTTACCTTCTGTAAACATTTTGAGTCTTTCAACGTGGAGAAGACATGGCCATTACTTGCACATTAGACCGCTGATGGTGTAGTCATGATCGATGGTCATGATATGAGAAAGTGGTTAGGGCAAACAATGAGATTAACAACGAGGTGCAGCGGTTTGATCTCGGCCCGCCGCTGTTAAATCGTTGCAAACGAAAACAGCGATTCAGCAAATTGAAAACGGTGTAGGCTACTCAACTGTATTTTAACCTGGTGGATGGTGTAGGAAAATATGGCGGCAAAGGCACATTCAGTAGTAATATTTTAAAATTAATTTTACATTAATTTCAGACTCAAGTCACTGTGTCACAAAGTATAGTTCGCCTAGCCTACATCACTTTGGACACGTTTCATTTTCACAACAATGTGCTTTGCACTTCCTCTTTATCTTCTCTCCGCTAACCGATTCGTGCGTGTGTGTGTGTGGATATCTCTTTCAATTCCTTTTTATTTCATTCTGTGAATTCATGTTGTGGGATGACAAGTGACCAACAAGTTCATTCAGAATTTCTTTGACCTTCAATCGTTGACATCAGCATATTTTATTAGCCTTTATTTCTGTTGGAGTCTTACTCAGAGAGTAAGAGATGGGGACAGTTGTTGATGACTTCAGACAACTATTAAAAGGTATTCTCCATTGTTTCACTGTTAATTAAATTTTGTGCTCTTTCAATATGCCTAAACTCTATATAGCCTACATGTAGGCTACTTATTTTTGTATTTAGTTTTTTAGGTAGCCTAACTTTTGAAGGTAACTTTAAAGATAGCTATTTATACAATTACACGCTAAATAATTTTTTATGAAATAAAAAATAAATAAATGCGCTTTTACAAGTTATGCTGGGTAGCTACACACTAAAAGATTTTTAAAATCTTATAAGGTCTTCAAGATGTGAGAGACCACAAACATGAGGACAAAATATCCTAGTTTTAACCGTTTTGCTCCTATAGTGTGTGGTGTGCTCGGGGTTCCCCCCCCCCACACATCAGGATTTCTGATCGTAAATATTCAACATGTTGAATATTTACGATTCGCGATCGGGGCGCCTCCGACGTTCTTCCGAGCAGATTCAGTCACCCTTAACACACCTCACACCACAGGAAAATCTGATAAAATAATCTTTAGAACCACCAAGATAATCGGGACATTACCTAGGATTGTCAGAAGGGGAGAAATCGACCCAAAATCAACCCGATTATCTTGTGGTGTGTACCCAGCATTAGAGTTGGTTTTCCAGTTCATTGTAAACATACTGTGGGCTATGCTCTTAAATCTTGATTACAGACTATTTTATGATTTAATTAGTTTTATTTTCTCTTTTAATTATTCTGCTTTGCTGTGTTTACTTTAGAGTAAAACATTTTGTACAAAATGGTAGGCTACACATGAATGATGCCATCATGAGATGTTATCTGTTCTGACACAGACAGGATGACTATTGTCATCTGAACATCCTGGCGTCTATGGCATTTGCCTGAATAGAACAGTCCTTTGCATATTTCAAAACATATATGCTCTATTGAGTAGCAATACCACATGAGTTATTGGTCAGATTTTTCTCTTTCCACATATTAAAATACAAAGTAAACGTTTTTACATTTTACTGTTAGTTTTTATTTACTTTTTTTGTATCTTACATACAGACTAATGTAGCATAGTTTACTGAGGTTGTTTTCTATCTTTTTTTTTTTTTTTCAGACTGTGAGCTGTTTGTTTTTGAGATACTCCAGGATGAGAATCTCAGTAATCCTGCTCGAGAGGCCAGGGAAATTCTCCTACGAAATTTTCATGTCATCCAAAAGAGGTGAGGGATATCACAATATGTTTTATTCATGCGTAGCTATTAGAGCGGACACATACTCGCTCCTCCTTGTTTGTGCTGCACATTGAAAACCACAAAAAGTAAATTTATAGAAGCAAATTATTTGCAGCTTGAGAATCTGTGCTCCCAACTGAGCTACAAATGAAACACAACAGTTAAACAGACAGGAAGCAAATGGCACAGTTCTTCTATAGTTGTCTTTTCACAAGCAAGGAGTACAATTACAGCGCTTACCCACTGGAGTGGCTTTGTGGTTTGCTGTGCTGAAACAAGGTGTTTGCAAAGAGAACAAGCGTGCTTTTTTTCTTCTTCAGCACTGGCTTACATGAATACTTAGCTGTCAATGCATCATTTGCAAATGCTGCAATGCACTGCTTTACAGATGCATGTGTTTATACAGATACTCATCCTGCTATCAATCTAACGCCTCTTCGATTCTTTTAGAATTTGTCGTACGGCTCTCATTGCAGATCTGAAATGTTTATCTAGTCTAAGAAAGATAGTGGAACAATACAAACCATTTGATGAACCTCAGTTATATCTGATTATAAGCCTTATACAATAATCCTGTTTATTTACATTTTTGAACATTGTGAAGTCCATTTGTTTAGAAGGTTATTTTATCCTTTACAAAATGTTCTTCTCTAAAAGCATTTTTAAATCCTCTCTTTTGCAGACACCCACAAGAATTCCCCCACAGATGTAAGTGAACAGCTGTTTCATGATACTAATTAATTGCTCACCGCGATTTCCGTTCAGAGCAACACTGGTTCTATAGAAAACAAGTCGGTTTCACAAATGATTCGATTTTCCTCCCACAGCGTTTTCATTTCATGAATGTCTGTCGAATTAACTCAACAAAGTTTCTACTTATATATATATATATTTTTTTGTCCTAGTTGAATCCAATCTTGAGGACAGTTCAGATGACAACCACAGCTCCAGTCTGGGACGCTCTGCCCCCTCAGATGATATGTCAGTGGCCTCTGACTACCAAGAGGAAGGTGCTCCTGAACGTGAGTTCAAGCCACTCTTTGTGCAGATGAGTGTTTACTCGAATGTCTAATGCATGTAAGCTGTGATAAGCTGAGACAGGAAACTTGTCTAAAGCATCTTTAGCACATTTCTTGTGGGGGTTTCACTGGTAGTGATGAAATACCCCAGTGGAGGTGTTTGGTAACAGATCACCCTCTAGTGGATTCCCATTTTTTTTTTTGCTAGATTTTTACTTCATAGAACTATTTTCTTCTCTTAACAGTTTTCCAGATTGAACAGAAAAGAAAAATGTCAGGCTACACAATTGCCGTTTGTGAAAACCATAAATTATTGTTTTTATCTTGAATACGCCTTCTTGTTCACTGACACGAAACTTCTCACCACCCTGGTAAAAATTAATACTCCATCGTCCCATTTATTTTATATGTTGTTAGTAATTTAGTGACAAAAGGGGTCAAACCTGGATGTGCTCCTTTGATTCTCTTCTTTGCCGGAAAAGGCATATAAGTCAAAGAGGAGTAACTCAAAGAAAATTCGCATCATGTCGCTCTTTCAATAAAGATAATGACCAGCAAGGGCAAGTGCAGTTCAGGGTTCATGTTTAGTTCACCAGTTGGGAATCTTACATCAAACCCAACAAGAGGACATTTGGAATTTGAGCGGGAGAGCGTTTCGGTGCATATGAAATTAGAGAGAGGAATATAATCATGAAGATTAAGATTCAAATGTGCACCTTTTTCAGCAATTCAGATTTAGTTTGTTTTCTCATTTGCCTTTTATTCAATAAGAACGCTCCATGCTGAGAGTCCCTTTTTGCTTAGCTCGAGTGAATGAAAAACAAAATGCATATGTGATATGAATGAACCGGTGTCCTTGCATGCTGATATTTTCAAATTTACCCTATTGTAGAGGGTAAATATAGTTCAGGCATTCAATCCTTGCACCGTTACTCGCTTCGTGAAGTCACATGCTCGCCTGTGTGAGGAAGGGACATTGACTGTGTCTGCTTGTGCTCTAACCTGACTGGAGGACGAGGCTGCAGTTGACTCGTTGATGGGAGGAGTCAGTGTTATTTCATTTAGCCTGCGCTGCCTCCCTGTCTCCAGAGGGAGGTTTGACACTAGATTTGTTATAGCTGACAGGAACAGATGGGCGCTCTATTGTCAGGGCCCCTGTCTGTATGGTAATGTGAACTGAGTTTCACCCGCAGACCGCACGGTTGACCCCACCGTGCCTGCAGCCTCGTCTGGATGACAGCAGCCCTGCAGCTGAGGATGGGAAGCCCAGGGCAGGAGGAGCCTCACAGTGGGGTGGATATTTTGCCAGGTCAAGTTTAGGAAATGCAAAAGTTGTAGAAAAAAGAAACATTCTTATCACTCTGAATGGTTTGAGTAGTAGATATTTGCTTGGAATGATTGCTAAAATGAAAAAAAAAAAAATATAGATCGCACACAAGACTCAAATCCACCAATCATTTCAGTAATAACAAATAGAGCAGAAAAGGTGTATGGTTTGTCAGTCTGACAGGAGTTTGTGTGTTTAAGAGGCTAATATCAATGCATGTCCTATCAAAGGCTGCACATGCTCTGGGCTCTTTGTGTGCACTGACTTGATTTATGTCCAGAAACAAAAGCCCCTCTCGTTCCTGTTATCTTACCCCACCACAGCTTTACAGGCAAAGCTGGAGAAGCCAATCAGAAAGGCCAAGGATTCAGAGTTAAGTTGTTTCTTTATCGCAAATTAGATCATCAAGATGTAAATACAATTTTTTTCTCAAGATCTTAGAGTCTCGTAATTAATGGTTGTGAAATTGATTGTTGTAATGAATCTCTGGAGAGTCCAAAAAGAGCTTGCATCAATGAAAAAGACATTTTAGCTTGGCAATTAAGCGACCCTTAGCAAACTATAGTGACCAAATCTCATTTTCGTCATCATCACAATTACTGTCAAGGATTTTCGGCAGAGCTCTGTCCTGCAGCCTCGGATTGTCATATTTATCCTAATGCAATGGCATGTGGAGGTGAAGTCATGTGATCATAAACACCTTACATGACCTCAGTGTTTGAGTCACCATCAGCTGGTACTCATCCATGCCTCTTAACTCCATATGTTTACTGTGAGTGCATGCTCACACTTTGAGTGTTTCTTCCTCCCTACAGTAAACTTTTGACCCCTAGGTCTTGTTCTGGTCAATTCATGACCTGTCTGAACTCTGTAGGGCAACTGAGTCTACATTATTGACCTGTATGCCATAGCAACAGCATAGTTCAAATAAAGTTTCACTGCCCCCCCCCCCCAAAAGCATCCATCCATTCAAGTAATCATCCATTAATTTCCTCCAATCGCGATTAATATTCTGCTGCGGTTTTGTGAAAGAGTAAAGTATGAGGCATTGGCAGGCTTCATAGGGCACGTTAAATGACTTCGGCAAAGATGACACCATCTTTCGTCTGTGCTGTCATTTTCCCACCCTCTGTTTCCCTTCGCATTAATTAATTGAAATAGACACATATTAGACCCGAGCATCCTCAGTGCATCGCTGCTTCTGCCATACGGGTTCAAAAGTTCACTTTACTCTCAGAAGGCTACGATGCTGCAGAAAATGCTGATATTTGCTCTCGCTGAGTCTCTCGCTCATTTGTAATTTCACTGTTTCACCCAAACACGCTCTCACTTTTCCTCCAGCCCAGTATAGTGATCATTCTGAAGAGATTTTCAACTGTTAATGTCATATCATTGTCAGTCGCCCTATTCATTGTGCAATGATGAGTCAACAGAGCGTACATCACTGTATTCATCATGCATATTCTTTCTTTCATTGGTTAGGAAAATATTGCTTCTGTGTTCGATATAATATGTCTCAGTCTAGTAAAAGTTACCGTGGGTGAGGAGAGGAAGTCTTTCATGATTTGCAAGGGATGAAATAAGCAGAATAGGAAGTCACAACCTTGAGTGTCTAATCTTCTTTGCAGCCTGTCAGTATCGCAGACAAATGGCCAAACGATTCAATGCTGTGGGTTCAGCTAGAGGTTAGCCTTCCCAGGTACCTCCAGCTCTCCCTCTCTCTTTCTCTCTCTCCTCTCCCCCTTACCCATCTTGCAAATGAGAATTTGATTTTTCTCTCCACTGGATTCCATTTCTGGAGATTGATGAAGTTTCGATGCAAGGCCCAGGTGGCCTGATGCTTTCATTGGGAAACAAATGAAAGCGTGTGTAGGTGTGTTCGCCTGTACACCCACAGGGAGGGAGTGCTGTTCAAATGTCTTCTATGTGTCTTTTTTAGTTTTAGCTAAATGCAGATTTGCTCTCGGCAACCGGTCTGTTGCATTCGTAATATTTACAAATGCTTGTGTTTTGCAAGGGCATTTGTGCAGTGTTTTTATGCTAGAAATGAACATTCACAGATTCTTTTTTTGTCTTTGTATTTGCTGACATAATCCATTTGACGTTTCTGACTCTTTGAGGTCTGTTCTACAGCAGCATTTGGAATGTTTTCACATCTTTAAACTGACCAGACGAACTGTTTTTCCATGAAATGTCTTTCTACCCTATGATTTGTCAGCCTGTGTAGGTATCATTTATCTGTCAAAAAATTGAAAATATTATGCTAATTGCCTAATTTACCATATGTTTTAAATTGAGTGTTGAAACGTAATAATCATAAAAGAGTTTTCCCCCAGATGGTTCTGAATTTGAGTAAGGAGCTTCACGAGTGAGAGGCTATATTTAAGTTTGGGAGATTTCTGGCCTGGTAATGCACATTACTGCAGTGTGTGTGATAAAACACAACCATTGGTAACCACTGAACCAAATCATTTTCATGATGACTGGCAGGGCCATGATATGACATATTCCAATGTACAACAGAAAAAATCCTCTTGATGTTATCACAAGATGAGGATTTTCCGTGAAGTGATTTTTTGTTACAACAATGCCTGGCTGCAGTCCATAAGCACCTTGAGCCAATAAAAACACTTTAAAAGTTAACTTATCCTGCTCTCCTAAATTTTATAGAGTAGCATAAGATGGAAAATTGTCTCCAGATTTGTGTTGTGTATATAATAAATTATTTCAAATAAAGCACAAGTTTTATTTTTATAAAGAGGACATTGCTCATATATGGCTGGAGAGCCGGCTGGATTAAGATTACACATGTGTAACTGTTGGCTCTTGTAGTTCTACCATTTAACGGTTGAAGCCTTTGAACTTTCTATTTATTTACTCAAGGACACGCGCGGTGCTTCTGCACTGTAGACCTATTCTGCTCGTGCTCCACAAAGACGATATTTATAGGCAAATTACTATAAAGGTATTTAGAAAGTATTTCGAATGTGAATTGTTCGTTTTGGTTATTGAATATTGTTCTGATATATGTATACGGGCTTTGCTTATTTAACTCTAAACGAATTTATCAAAAATAAGAGAATCCCGAAATCATGTTTATATATATATATATATATATTTAAAGTAGGCTAAATGTTTTATTATTAGCCTATTATTAGCCTATTATTATTTGGAAACGAAAGTTGTTTAACAGAATAATAGTTAAAAGGAATGCAGTAAACAACGCCACTGATGGATTTTTTAGAGACATAAATTCTTAATTCCAATGTGTAATATTTAGTCTATAATTTATAGCTTAATTTGGGCCCATAGGCTATATGTAGCTATTTATAAATGTATTGTTTATTCCGATTTACTGGTAGCCTACTGAAATAAAATATTTTGTGATGTCTTATTTTTGCATAGGTCGAAACATTCCCGGTGATTGAATTGAAAAATCACGATCTTGAGTTAACGACGTTTATTGATTATATATGGTAGAATGAATGAATAAATAAAAAATCAGTTTAAATGTGAACGGTGTCTAGGCTATAATAGTTAGCCTATAGGCCTATTAGAAATCAATTCAAGCAGGTATTTGTTAAAACCTGAAAAAATCGAGATAGCCTACAAGCCTAAATACACACTAAAATAAACATTTGTGAGAAACAGAGACAACTTTTATTAGGATGTAATT